ATATATATATATATATATATATATATATTTATATATATATATAAATGGATAAATAATAATAACAGTAATTTGGAACAAGATGTAACATTTTGTTATATATATATATATATATATATATATATATATACATATATAAATGAATAAATAATAATAACAGTGTTCAAATTTGGAACAAGATGTAACATCTCGTTATATAATTTATTCCTGTTTTGTGAATCATCATGGGGAGGAGGGGAGAGGAGGAAGTATTTATTTTATCAGGACTGTAAAACAGTTAACTACATCAATTTCCATCCACATAAGCTACAAGAACCACTTAAGTCCCAAAATATGAACAAGAGAAACATTTTGAAGTCAAATTATTAAATGACAAGGTGTTTAAATGTGTTCATTAAACAATGAAAAATACAATAATTTGATTGACACAAATAATAGGGCTACAAATTTAAGAAATGGGGAGAAGCATGACAGCCATAAAAAAATCAAGTTCTTCAACAAAATTAAAACTGATCTACTGATCAATTTACCATAATTTAATCTTGAGTTCTTATCGGCACAAAGTTCTCAATGAGTCACTGATATTTGAGTGAGAGAAAATTACTCCTTATCATCGGGGAATTGCTTATCAGTATCGAACATAAAATTTTACAAAAAGCAAAACAGAACATGCGCCTTGTTTTCTTTGCAAATAGACGGTGACTGTCTGCGTATTTTTAGAATGTATAGAAAATATACATAATAAACTCGTAAACTCAACACTATTACGTTTTGTGAAGATTTTGGAAACTTATTTTTAGAATAATTTAATAGATGTAAACGCGTTGTGCCAAATATTGCGTTTTAATGCATACACAAATCATTTCACAATGCGTTCGGCAGCAGGATAAGTGGGTGTGTTAGTAAGTGAACTAGCTATTTTTATTAAACATATTATCATTATTTGAATGATCTATATTAATACATCAAACAAAATTGAAAAAGAATTTGATATAAATTCAATCAGATATAATCTATGTAGTAAAGTTACTTATAGCATTAATGCGCAATTGAAATTATCAGATTCTTACTGACATTACGTACATTCACTATAAATCACTTATCCCAAAAGTGTGCCTGGTCGGAGCAACGCGGGCAAGTGAGGTAGAGTGGCATGGTGCGTTGTAGTAAGGGTGGGGGGAGGGGGTAGTAGTGAGGGTTTGTTAGCATAAACCGGTATTTTTATCAGTTGACACATAATAACTAAGTACACCAGCCATGTACACTGTAATCTATTTACTTGGTAATAAACGTTCTCTTAACAAAACATAGTGCGATATGCACTATTATATCCCATTCTTGCCCCGTGGGATTACTAAAAGGAAATCAGTGTTATTGGCCATTGTCTTTGTAGCAGTGACTATTCATAGCCGTAAATGAAGAGATTAAACGTAAGTCACGATTAACACTCAGCATTGCTTTCTTTTTCAACATCACCCAAGAACCTTCTTTATTCTTTACAGTTAATTTGTATTTTTTACTCGCATGATTAATAATAAATAATAATTCTGGATTTATATAGCGCCTCACGTTGACACAACCTCGAGGCGCTTAACAACAACAGAGAAGAAAAAACAAAACAAAACAAAGGCAAATGTACCAAAAAAATTATTATCAAATATTTGGTTTTAGTTTAGTTTAATTAAGTTCAAATGATTGGTTAGATTATTATCAATAAATGTTATTATCACAATGCTTTAGTAATTGGAGTCATTTCAAGGCCTGTTACTTTCCTATTCATCCCAAAGCCTTTCATTTTTCTTTCCCTTTTGCTTCTTGTCTTTCTTCCTTTCCCTTCAAATGTTCCTGATCTTTACCTTTCTTGTCCTTTCTTATGTTATGATTAGCTTGAATGTGTTTGCCAGATTTGTATTTTCATACTAGTGGATGTGTACAATGCGTGTGGTAGCTGAAATGGAATCTAGATGTGTATTTTTGAGGATGTGGTTCTGTGAGTTATCGTAGATTTTACTACATTATAAAATATTGTGATTATTTTCTATCAAAAACATAAATTTATTGCTGAAAAGTGAGAATAAAATGTCATTGATCGTTATTAAGATGTTAATGAATATTAAACATAATATTTGAATTATTATTAGTATTAAATTATTAGTATTAAATTATTATTATTTATTATTATTATTATTATTAGTATTATTATTTATCGTCCACAACCATATCATCATAATTATTCTTTTTTATTATTTGTTGATAATAGTAATAGATAATATTAATAATTAATTTTATTATTATTATTATTATTATTATAAATATATTCATCAAGTATATATTAAAATATTTAAAACCTTCCATATTGAAATTGTATCCAAATAAAACAAGCAAAATTGAAATTATATACATCAATTTATTTTGGATCGACACTGACCTAATTAGTATTATTTGACTAAACAATGATCAGCATATATTAACAGGAGGCTGTCGTAATTATTACAATAGGATGTTCAATCATGCGTTGGAACACGATGTCTGAATAATCATGGTCGTACTTTTGAACCACATACAACAGAAAGTGTTATCTTAAATACTAGACAAGTTTAAATACCAATGTATTAATGACTTAATAAAATAAGTAATACTGTGTTTTTTCTTTAATATTAGGGCTCCTCTAGAGTGTTCCACTGTAAACCATGTTCGAAATTTATAATTATTTCATTACTGTAAATTTGTATTTAACATTTTTCCTAAATTTTGTAACAAATTACAAAAATAGTATTCATTGTATTGGCAATTTGAGGTTAATTATTGTTTAAGTCTACATCATGAAACTAGCACCCTTCTAATTTGGCATTTACGATGGTTGCACGCATCCACGTTAGGCCTATAATAATTGTAAAGTGAAACATTCATACATGTTATCATTAACTCATGTCATTTGTTTAGTCCTGAATAAATAATATTACAGAATTTATATAATTTTTGTATTAGACTGTAGGTCTACCAATGCACATTAGGCCTATATGGATAGCAAATTTGATGCCACTATATTGTGTATATTAGGATATGTAAAATATTATAGATTTATAAGGAACTTGTATCCTCAATAAAGATTATTTAAAAATATATACTTCTATATACAATAATATATAATCTTTGGAAATATATTATTTCATTTATCTATCAAATATTTACACAATTATACACAATAACCCAGTAAACTAAAAATGACGTCTTTGAAAGGAATACAAGAGACTATTGCAATTTGTTATATCGATAATAGATATCGTATTGTTAAAATTCTTTCTTGATGTTTTAATTTCCAGGTGGAAATTTCAAGTTGTAGATAGTTTTCTCTAAGCCTTGTTAAGCATTTTACTTAAAATGTATATTCTGTTGTTAATCCACCTCTTCGGCGAGCTGCAAGTACCTAATGGTATTAGAATTTGAATCTCTGTTATCACCCGCTTCTGTTTGTTGAACGTCATTCAAATTCTCAGCATCGTCTTCGCTATTCACTATGGTTTCATTTTGTCTTACGTCATCTGTAGACTCCGTGTTATGTTCGCAAGTCTCATTCTCCGCGCTGTTCTTCTCTGTATTTGAAGTCATTGCGTGTGTTTTACGCTCATCCAAATCTTTAACCATTTTCGGGTGGTTTGCAGAACCAGTATCTTGTGAAGCACCCCACTGTTCTGAAGAGGTTTTAGACGAATCTACCAGCTCTGCCATTGGAGCTTCTTGAGTATCCGCGGCGTCATTGTCGGTGGCGTTATCATCCGTGGCCTCGCGTACAAATCCTGCATTTATGATTGGATCGAACGCGGCTTGATTATATTCCAACTTCTCTTCATCAGTTAACTTTCCTTTAATGTCAATTTCAATCACAGCTGAAGATTCTGGATAATTCGACAGACCACTGAATTCAGGGGATCCTACCATCATAGGATCATCAGGTGACAATGGGATCTCTTGTGACACATACGTTTGAGGATAATGTGGAAAGTGCCTGATCTTTGAACCTCTGTCACATATAGGATCTTCACTTTTTTGGTTCTGAAATTGAGAGAAAATTTCCTGCGTTACAATTCGTTTATTTGTTCTAATAAAGTAGCTGTTACTAATAATCCAAGCACAATTTCTTTTAAGATATATTCTCTCACACGTTTGTATATTTCATTTGCCGCATGCTATGTTTTAAAATACTTTGCTGTACATGCAGTTCAAAGTCGCAGCTTTGGGGCGTTAATAATTAATTTAATCTGGAAGGAATGGATTTGGTTCCGATTGGTCTTCGGCTACATATGGTGGCGGGGGTGGAAAGTCATCACTAATTTCGTTGTTTCGATATTCATCAATGCTTCTGTTAACGTAGATATCTTCGTTTGGCGCGTAATTCATTTCAGCATGGCCGAAATTGTCGTGAAGGCGAACATTTTCGTAGCCAGAACCACGTCTTATTGCATACGCGCCTCTGTTTGCCACATTAGATGTGGACGCAAAATTGTCCATGGTGTTGCGACGCAGTGGGTGAAACGTCACCATTCCGTCGTCCGGAATGGTGAACGGCGCGTCAACATGCGTGGTGTATCGTAAAGGCTGCTTAGTGTAATGCACTTTGTTAAAGTTTCTGAAATCCTTACGCCCTCCACAGGGGGTGTTGACTGGGAGTGTGACGACACTGGGACTTGGACTAAGAACAGATTTCATATGTTTGTTATGCAATGCGGAAACACTTTGACTCTTGCTCATGTGATGTTTTGGCTTCTCAAGACTAGCGTACAGTTGCGAGATATAACCACTAGAGTTTTCGTCATTAGCTAATGATTGTTGAAAAATCTGCCCATTTTCACCTTGATGTAAGGCGGGCATATAAATAAATGAATTTCGATGACTTACTGGACCTAAAGTTGAGTCTTCATAGCTACTCTTCTTCTGGCGTGGTCTAGTGGTGTGTGATGCAAAGAAATAAGTGAGTGTCATTAGGACGATAATAAAGATAAATATGAGCATTCCAAATATCAATGCTAAGATTAGTTTCATATTGTATCGTGTTACACTTGTATCAATATCGTTCTTTGTGTTTACTCCGGTTCCAGCATTGTTTTCATCGTCAATGATAGAAAACAATTCCGTTGCAGTGTCAGTGTTTTTGGTTGGTGTCATAGATGTAGTGGGAAGTACTGTAGTTGTCGGCAGTTCCACTTTTAGTAGTGTACTGTAATTTCCAGTTAAACCAAGAGTAGTTGTTACCATGCAGGTTAGGATTGCATTATTATCGTTCATGCGGAGATTTCGTATTTTCAAGTGATGATTGATTGCAGAGAAACGTGGAATTACAAAGTCAATCGGACGACCATCTATAAACCAAGTATACGAACCAATAGCTGGAATACCTTCGCTATGACAACTAGCGGTGATATTATCACCGACCAAACTAACGTTTGCGCTGACTTTGACCATAGGTGAAGGTGGTATTTTCATTGGCATGATGGTACATTTTCGGTGTTTTCTCAAAGCTGGACTTGTAGCGGAACATGTGAAATATACTCCGTTATCCTTTGGTGTAAGTACGCGCGTAACTTTATTGTTGTTAGATGTTACATTTCCTAGAATAACTCCTTCACGAGTCCATGTCAAATTCGCTCGAGGTATGCCTCCCAATGATATACAGTTTAACTCAACAGTAGAGCCAGGTTTATGTGCCCCGGGGTCAGGTGTTGATAAACAGACTGGAAAATCAGCTTTAGGCGGGATAATAATATCGACCTTAGCAGGCAGAGATGTTGCGCCACTTGTTTTACTCACGTATGCACATTTGTAATCGCCGGCATCTTCAACTTTGACATCAACAATTTTCAAGAAGTATTCTCCACTTAATTCGTCTCCAACTATTGAATATCGTCTTATATTTTCAACACCGATATCAGCCAAAATGTTGCGGCCTATACTTATATGGGCAGGTCCTTTTTTCCAATAGATAACTAATTCTGGGATGTATGTAACCGCACATCGAAGTGTCACAGTTTCACCCAGTATAACGACTTGCGATTGCGGTGTCTGATGAAACTTTGCTTGGGCCAGCAAGGGCAATACCGCTAGACACAATAACTTAGTCAACATGTCCATGACGCTCTCCCTCGAAATTAGAAGTTGTAAGCCTCAAAACGTCTTCAGTACTAGTCCTTTTTTTCGGCGTTTATTCGATAGAGATTAACCTTCGGTGTATGTAAGAATTGTAAACTGATAATTTTGTTTTTAAAATCTCAAAAACAAAATGCTTCTACTTTAAAACTTATAAAATTTCATGTGTTCTGATGCCGATGAAAATTCACTACTATGCATTACTCATACGTTGTGTTCATTGGCACACACAACAACTTGGCTTAATTTATGCTTCCTTTACGTATGATTTTGCTGTCTTAGCATTTCATCAATTCTAATTCAATTATATCGCTCTAACCAAGTCATGTGACTGTTTATATCCAACACACCCCAAGCTTTCTCGATCTATGAAAACTACAGCATTTTGTGGATATATTTAAATATTTCATTACAACAAAACCAATAAATCTCACTCACGTTGTTGACAGTTTCGAGTATAGCAGTTTTAAGTTTTTCTTATTTCGATACTGTACTTTTATTATGAACAAAATTTAAATTATTATACATTTGTACAGTCCAGAAAATGAATTCTTTTCATGATTTCTGGATTCTAAACTACATCGGTGAATAAATATTAGGCCTAACCATATCGTTTCTTGGCATGAAAAAGGAAGTATTGATGTCTCTGCCAAACATTTTTTTCTTACGGAAGAATTAGTTATATTATTTCTATTGAATGATTGATTACCCAAGGTGCACTACACGAACCGGATTTTGTTAAAAGTTGGAAAATAGTCTGGCTAGCGTGTTATTTTTCTACTTGTGATATATTGGAAAATAATTATTCACTTTATTATAAGTTCTAGAGCGGTGTTACACATAAAGAGTTAAACTCCAAACTGTCTTACAGTGATGCTTTATATAGTATTAGTTTAATAATATTATATTAGTAATTTTAATTACAATCTTAAATTAATAATGTTTTAATTTGACATTATTTGATTTTAATGCTGTGGTTGTCAAAATCTAATCAGATATTTTTGTCTGCAGTAATTGTAATATTTCCTGATTGGTACAATCTCTAATTTTCATTCATATATCCTATTTGATTTAGCAATAATAATAATAATATAATAACAATATGTAATGTTTATTTTCGTTATAGTATTTGAGGAATGATTTTACCCACTTGTTTCTAATTCTTTTTTTTTTCTTAGTCTATAATCATTCATTCTTTTATTTCGGAATCAATAATTTGTCCATTCCATATTATATATATATATATATATATCAGTCAGCCAAGATTGGCTGTTGCAAGTTATATACTCTACAATATACAGTTGTAGATCTGTTCAGTTGTATATGGTACAATATAAACAATACAATTGTATTGTTTATATTGAACAGTATACAACTTGCAACAGCCAATCTTGTGCATTCAGTAAAGCTGATGAAGGCCAGAGGACTGGCCAAAAATTTCTTTCGAAAATAAATTCAATAGTCTATATGCCTTGTTGTCATGAATTTTTTTTTTTGCTTCAACGACTGAGAAAAAAAAATACTATGAATTTGGTACTAGCATTGTAATTTCTAGCTGCTCACCTTAAGCTGTTTTCACACTATACAACGTTAAGTGACAACAAATTATGTGATGTGCCCACATGTGGGCATGATGATGTCACATTACATCCATATATGGGCATATCACAGTCATTTGTCACATCAAAATTGACAGTGTGGACAGACAATTAAAACAAATTTCTGTAAACGATCATCATTTTCACGTAAATTCTTCACATTTAGGACTTATCTTTAAATAGAATACGGAGGGTGATTCATATTATTTGACACAGAAACCTTCATAGGTTATCTTTCTGACTTTGGAGAATCCAATCATTCCATTTGTGTTTAAAAACCTATAATTAAGAACTACTTGGTGGTAAATACAAAGTAAAGCTTAAGAGTAGGTGTAGGGAAAAGCATATTGCATAAAACATAATGCATAACATAAATTATATTTATACAAATAAGTATAACATAAATTATATTTATACAAATAAGTATAACATAAATTATATTTATACAACAATACAAAATACAAACTGTAAACATACCACAAGATACACAGCGAACATCTATTACATATTATTTATGTAAATGAGCAGTTAATAATCATATTATGATCAAGCAGCTCTTATAATGAATAGGTTCCATATTTGTATCTTGCTTTCTTTCATGATAAAAATAGTCATTGGCAAGTATTATTTTTCTTGTAAATAACTTGTTTTTTTTTAAATATGGTAAACCCGAAATTTTAATAAACTAATATGATTACAGTTGATATCGTTATTGACTCATGATTCTTTAGGCTATTTGTGTTAGTCAGGTTTATTTTTTATGATTTTTGTAAACATAAATGCCCATATTTGGTACCGTATTACTTTACACATTTTCCTTGAACTATTCGAGGACGCGTGTATCAACTTAGAAACCCCACTCTACTAACATTATATCCCATATGCTACAGTTATCTGAGTTCAATGGTAGGCTTATAACATTTTTTAAAGGTTTACATGCGATAGATCTTAAAATACAGACATAGGGCGTCAACATAAGTTTTTAATTATTATAGCGGAAATCAGTTTGCCATTGTTATTTAATTGACCTAGTGGTATTATACTTTGTTGCTGTTATGATATTTGACAGAAAGTAAGAATATAATCTGATTGTTTGATATTTTGTCTGTAAAGCATTCTATATAATAATGCATAACACCTCTCTAAAATGTTTTTTTTTTCTTGATCTTTTTTTAAATTTTTTCTATTTACCATTTTTTTTTTTTTTTTTTTTTTTTTTGTATTTTGATGTTCTTATCTTCTTTTTACTAATGTTTGCCTTGGAGATCCATCGAAAGTGTTTTACACTTTTGGTAATCCTTCTGGGGCTTTTTGTGAATAAAGAGAAGAATTAAAACAACAACGATGAGTAATTAGGGACGAAATTATATATTTAATCCATTTTCTAGATTAATATTAGGTAATTGTTTTGATATCTTTTATTTTTTATGCTGTTTTCAACTGCCAATCTATTTAATCATTTGGGAATTAATTTAAAAAAAATACCATTTGACTACTAGAGTATTATTTCATTAACCCAAGCTACAAATTCACTATCCTGCTCATAACCAGAAAGGAAATTAATGGCTTCTCCTAGCATTAACCAGTCAGACCGATCCTAAACATTCGTTTCTAGTAAGGGTCAATTCTGTCTTTAGACAGGATGCCAGATATCTTGTACTTTCCTTTTTGGGAAATACGTAGTGCATACCATTATCAAGAAAGCGTTCCTCACTCAGACGCATTAGAAATAGAGCGGATGAAGTTATTATTGTTGGTCTACCTCGTTCTTATTGCATATCATAACTTCATAATTCCAAATTTATAATATGTTTTGTTTAAGCATACAATATGGTAAATACTAAATTGCGTAAATAAAACGAATAATACTGGTTGATTTTCAACTGAAAAGCAATTATGTTTGAGGTGTATCAACCAGTATTTAGTTTTGTACAAAAATATACACAGAATCATGAATTGAAATAATTTCATAATGCATTTCTTTCTGATGATTCAACTCTAAATTTGTTGGTGAATTCCTCAGGGGAATGGATGTGCTAATGGACATCAACAGGATCTTGTGTCAGATGCAATGCTCAGAACACATAGTTAATAATCAACAACGAGAACAATTGTCAAAACTCATAAATGAAGTTAGCTTGGCCTCTTGAGTCCAGAATCCCAAAACATGGACGTTCACATTTTGAGCATTGTTCGATGTGCTACATCACGGTAATGATTTTATTTTTTTATTTTTTTGTTGTATAGCTGCTGTCATTCTAATGTTGCTTTACAAGCTTTTATCACGTATTTTACCATTCAAAACTATGCTTTATTGCAATATTTTAACATCTTTTACTCATGTATCTTACAACTTTCGAATTTAGCCAAATGAATAAATAAATGAATCCTTATTGTTTTATCAAAATTCAGATAATAAAGCGTCGTATTGTAAAACATTTTTACTAGACTGTTTAACATAAACTGCAATGAGCTGCAATTTGCAAAAATTGGTATACTGTATAAATTCGCAATAATTCAACAAAATTAAACTAAACAGTTAATTAAAATAAACACATTAGGTGATAGGAAATATGTACGAGATTTAACAAGTGTGCAATAAAAATTAACAAGGAGTTTAGGATTGCTCTTGAGATGCCAGTAATTTCCTTTTCACATTACAATTATTTTGCAGATTCCTCTCAAAGTTTGTTTCATACTGAACACGTTTCATCAAGCGTTATTTCAATCAATCCGGGTTATATTACGTGGTAACTTAATAACGACAGATAGAGGCTTTCGTTGAGGCTTGATTCTTATTTTTGTTCTTTTTCAAATGTAAATTTTAAAATATGTATATATGATGAAGGACCACGATGACGATAATTACGATGACAGTTAACATATTCATGGTTATGTTTCCATGACTTAATGACTTATGACGAAGGGACGGTCGTGATATTTTAAAATTTAAAATTAAACAATGTCAAATAGCAGCTTCAATGGTTATCCAAAGAAGAATCAGATACATCACTGCTCCAATCCAAAAGAACTTTCCCCCCTGCAAACCCACCAGGTACATTTACCATAAATCATTTTATATTCATCCCAAGTGGCCCAGTTGGTCAAACCGTCTGCATACTGCAGACAGCAAAAGGGCTTGGTCGAATCACACTCGCAGATTCCTCTTCCAAAAATATATATATATATATTTACATATATATATATATATATATATATACATTTACATATATATATATATATATATATATATATATATATATTAAATAACGAGTCAAACGGTATCAGATATATGTCACAATTTTTTTTGAAAACTAGCCAGTACTTTCGACTATAAGTCTTTATCAAGTTATGGATACCTAGCTTGATAAGACTTATAGTCGTAAGTACTCGCTAATTTTCAAATAAATTTTGTGGCATATATATGATAATGTTTGACTCGTTATTTATATACTATATATATATTGCCTATGCAGCACCACCATTACTATATATATATATATATATATATATTATATATATATATGCTATATATAATATGTATATTATTTTGTAAATATAAGTCTACTGTACAATACTGTAATACTTGTAGTTTTTTACTTCTAGTTATGTTCCCAA